GGTGAATTTTTTTCTCACTCTTCTGTTTAAGTGTATTAAAAGCCTAAAATTCTGTATAATTAATGAACATCAGACCCACGTGACCACAGAGCTAGCTCCTTGGAAAGGCCTCAGTAGTGCCTCGGTCTGGCTTGGAAACTGTTCTGGGATTTTGAGTCTCTGTGTTTGTGTATTCTTGTTTGGATATTTTGTGGGACAAAATGACTTGCTGTGGCATTAATTGCATTAATAGAGCGTCCAAGGAGTCACCACTTCATTTTTTTCGGTAAGTAAAATTATATTTATGTATTTTAGGTCACTGCCGAGCTGAGCTTAGATTTTAGCAGGTACTGTTTAGCCATGAAATTTAAATGTAATAGGGTAAAACCCAGTGCATTTAACATAATGCTGCATTTTAGAAAATGGGTTGAAATATAACATGTTGGTGGAGCTGGGTTCCGACTATCGGCTTGTGGAGCTCTCGGGAGACCGATGTTTTCCACCCGTTTCTCCCCTCCCCGCAGCTCGGCGCATCTCTGTCTGATTGCGGCTCCTGTCTGCTGCGCGGGCTGCCGGCTTGTGGAGCTCTGGGATGGAAACCTTTCCACCCGGTTCTCCCCAGCGGCAGCTATGCGCATCTCAGATCTCAGCTGCGCTTGTCTGCTGTGCGGCTTCCGGCTTGTGGAGGTCTCGGAGACCTCTGTGTTCCACCCGGTTTAACCCAGCCGTCAGCCCGGCGTATCTCTGACTCAGAAGCTCTGGTGTTGTGTACACTTAACTCCGATTGTAGCTAGGTTGCTACCTCCGTTAGCTTAGCTCCCACTTCCGCGTTAGCTTTGGATTAGCCAGGGTTAGCTTTGGGTTAGCTTGTAGCTAGTTCGACCGGGTGTTGTCAGTTGATCCCAGCCTTACAGCCCCACCCTCAGCTCCTCCTCTCTTCCCTTTTTTGGAATTGTCTGGGCTTGACGGAACCTGTGACACGGTCAAAATGGCGGTGGTAGCCACCTCCCATTTGGCCTCAAAAACGTCATATTGGAGTCTATGGAAAGGAATTGTCCAGTATATTTATGTTGATGATACACACACACATACAGGCTCACAACGACATTGTGACATCATATGGTACCAGCTAAAGTTCTAGAGTACCTCTTAGCCAGTAGCGATGGCTGATTTAAATTCAAATGCAGTGCAGAGTTTTTACCCGACAACGGCACAACACTGAAAAATGAAGGACCAGAAGCCGACTCCCCCGGACCAGAAGCCGACTCCCCCGGACCAGAAGCCGACTCCCCCAGACCAGAAGTCGACGCCCCCGGGCCAGAAGCCAACGCCCCCGGACCAGAAGTCGATGGTGGTCGACGCCCGGTCCTGTCCTGTGGTCGACACCCCTTCCAGTTCTGAAGTTGACGCCTCCTCGTGTTCTGAAGTCGACACCTCCTCGTGTTCTGAAGTCGACACCTCCTCGTGTTCTGAAGTCGACATGTCTGAAGTCGACGTGTCTGAAGTCGTCTTCTCTGAAGTCGTCGTGTCTGAAGTCGACGTGTCTGAAGTCGACTCCTCTGAAGTCGATGTGTCTGAAGTCGACGTGTCTGAAGTCGTTTCCTCTGAGGTCGACGTGTCTGAAGTCGTCTCCTCTGAAGTCGACGTGTCTGAAGTCGACGTGTCTGAAGTCGACGTCTCTTCTGAAGTCGACGTGTCTGAAGTCGTCTCCTCTGAAGTCGATGTGTCTGAAGTCGTCTCCTCTGAAGTCGACGTGTCTGAAGTCGTCGTCTCGTCTGAAGTTGACGTGTCTGAAGCCGACGTGTCTGAAGCCGACGTGTCTGAAGTCGTCTCCTCTGAAGTCGACGTGTCTGAAGTCGTCTCCTCTGAAGTCGATGTGTCTGAAGTCGTCTCCTCTGAAGTCGACGTGTCTGAAGTCGTTGTCTCCTCTGAAGTCGACGTGTCTGAAGCCGACGTGTCTGAAGCCGACGTGTCTGAAGTCGTCTCCTCTGAAGTCGACGTGTCTGAAGTCGTCTCCTCTGAAGTCGACGTGTCTGAAGTCGTCTCCTCTGAAGTCGACGTGTCTGAAGTCGACGTGTCTGAAGTTGACGAGTCTGAAGTCGACGTCTCCTCTGAAGTCGACGTCTCCTCTGAAGTCGACGTCTTGTCTGAAGTCGACGTCTTGTCTGAAGTCGTCTCGTCTGAGGTCGTCTCCTCTGAAGTCGTCTCGTCTGAAGTCGTCTCGTCTGAAGTCGCCACTGAAGTCGTCTCGTCTGAAGTCGCCACTGAAGTCGTCTCGTCTGAAGTCGCCACTGAAGTTGTCTCGTCTGAAGTCGCCACTGAAGTCGTCTCGCCTGAAGTCGCCTTATCCACTCTAGAGGTTGACGCTCTCTCCACTCTAGAGGTCGACGCTCTCTCCACTCTAGAGGTCGATGTTCTCTCCACTCCAGAGGTCGACGCTCCCTCTGGTCCGACGTCTCCACCGTCTCCAGTTCCAATGGTGGTTCTGAAGGCCGCTCCGGTCCAGCCCATCCAAGGGACTATGTCCCCTTCCAGCCTGCAGAGACTATGTCCCCGGCCCAGCCTGCAGAGCTCCTCTGCCGCAGGCACCGGCCTCCAAGGGCCCGTTGCCTCCTCATCTGCCGCAGGCGCCGGCCCCCAAGAGCCCGTCGTCTCCTCCTCTGTCCCAGGCGCAGGCCCCCGGACTCTGCTGGTCCCTGCCGCCTCTCCATCGGTCCCTTGGTTCCTCTGGGCCCTCCCTCTGGGTCCCCCTCCTCCTGCCCTGCTCCTTGTTCCTGTGGGCGTCTGGGATCCGCCCTTTGAGGGGGGGGGGGGGGGGGGGGGGTACTGTCACACCCTGTCCTGTTTCCCTGTTTGGTTCAGCCTTGTGTCTCGTTAATTACTCCCACCTGCCTCTCGTTTTCCCAATCACCTTAGCTCCCGGTCCTCCTGTATTTAAACCCCTTCTGTTCTGTGTCTTGTGTCAGTTCATTGTTTCTTTGTCCAGCGTGCGTTCTAATAAATCAGTATAAAAAGTCCTACCTGTCTGTCTGCTTCCTCCCCGGCCTGGATCTTCACCTCTTCTCCGCTTCACCCAGCCGGCACACGTGACAAAGGAGATCCGTCACCAGTATGTGCAGGTAAAGCAGGTCTTCCATGTTCAGCACTGTAAGCTGCTTTACAGTACTTTGTAGTTTCATGCAGTACACTAGCAATTCTACAAAACATACTCTACAATGTGTTTTACCAAATGCATGCATTACTGTTTGTTACTGTACACAGGACAATTGTGAAATTGCATTTCTGTCTCTCTCTCAAGCGTGTACTGGAGCTGGAAGCCAGGGAACCACTGCACACATTCATATATGTTGATGAGGCAGGTTTCAATCTGGCCAAAGGCAGAAGGCATGGAAGGAATCGCATTGGACAGAGAGCAACCACTGAAGTCCCTGGCCAGCGCGAAGGGAATATTACCATGTGTGCAGCCTTCTCAGACAACGGCGTCCTCACCCATTCTTGGTCCATTCAATACCCAACATCTCCTGACATTTTTAGACACTCTTTACAGGGACCTAGTCCCTGAGAATGAGAGGGGTGGAGGCCAACTCAGCAAGTATGATGTTGTCTGGGATAATGTCCGTTTTCACCACTCCCGTCTGGTCAGAGTGGTTTGCAGCACATGAAGGAATGCTGGTTGAATATCTCCCTCCATATTCCCTATTCCTTAATCCAATAGAGGAGTTTTTCTCTGCCTGGAGGTGGAAAGTTTATGACCGGCATCCACATGAGCAAATGGCCCTGCTAGCAGCCATGGATGCAGCATGTGACAACATCACAGCAGAGTCCTGCAGAGGATGGATTCGCCACTCCAGGAGATACTTTCCTCGCTGCATTGCGAGGGATGACATCCGTTGTGATGTAGATGAAAATATGTGGCCAGACAGACAGACAGGAACGTCTGGATGTGCCAGAATGATTTTCTGTACCTGTATGTTACAGTACTGTGCAAAACTGCATGTACTGTTACATGTACTGTATATTGTTCACATTTGTGCACAGCTCTACCAAAAGGATGAGTTTATGTTTACATGTATTCTACAGTAAACAAGTGACTGTAGCATATTTTTCTTTTGCACAACGCTGTAGAATTACAAACACTTCTATACAGTACGTAAAAATGTAAAACGTACGTATTCAGTGTCTCAGTTACTCCCAAAACTCCCGTAACATCTACAGTAACTTTACTGCACATTTCAAATGGCGGTACAAGTAGGGCATAGCGCTGTCTTGAGCATTTTCAGGTGTCACCAAATATTCTTGCAACGGAAAACACTGAAATTATAAACTGTCATAGTGAAAGCATGACAAAGCCATTCGACTATCTTGTTCACAAAGATGGTGTCAAGACTTTTCATTTTGATGGCTCTGACAGTTTCATTGACATGAATACTTGCTTTTGAGGAATGGATTATCAATTTTGAGCATGTGACGTGCTTTTGCAGGCTATCCACTAGGTTTTGCAGTTTGCACTAATTGTTTTGAGAAATGCACTAACTGCTGTGCAAATGTTAATAGTGTTCTGAGAAACGCACGAAAGCGACTGAGAAAAACTGTATTAGATAGATAGATAGATAGATAGATAGATAGATAGATAGATAGATAGATAGATAGATAGATAGATAGATAGATAGAGATATAGATATAGATATAGATAGATAGATAGATAGATAGATGGATAGATAGATAGATAGATGGATAGATGGATAGATGGATAGATAGATGGATAGATAGATAGATAGATAGATAGATAGATAGATAGATAGATAGATAGATAGATAGATAGATAGATAGATAGATAGATAGATAGATAGATAGATAGAATTCATTCATTTGACAGATAAGTCAACCCTAAAGCAGCACATTGGAAATCCATCAAGCATTGACAGCAGTTCTCAGCACTGTTTTTTTTTTTGTTCTTCCTTCTTTCCGTTACTTTTTCTCATCTTCCTTACAGCTGGGCCAGCGTGAGTTCAGGAGGACTGCAGGAATGCTACGGGAGGCTGGACTCCAGCAGGAATGAGCAGCAGCTTCCCATCTTTATTCATCCAAAAGCTCATATTTTGCTGTGATCATGCTGTTAATCTTTCCAATCAGATGTTGCGAGTGATTTAAAGCAATTAAAACTGCTAACTGGACATATCTGGGCTTCTTGCCTTCATAATTACTTCACAGGAGCACTGAGTCTGTTTTGTTTTGTCCAAATCAGGAAACAAGCATCTGTTTTCCCAGGCCATCAGAACCAGATGATACTGTTAGAGAAAACCCACAAGAAAGGAGGGATCAAGGAAACGAGGGATTTCAGTTGAACAGAGTCAGTATTTGTGTGTGAGACAGAGACACTGAGAGCTGCAGACTGGGGAATCCTCAGAAGACCGACACTGTAGCAGATTAACGAGGCGAGGATCTGTGATCGATCTGCAGAGCTGCAGGTAGGACTGGAGTCTAATACAATGTCAGCTTGATGACTTTTAAAGATTTATTGGAAACAACCTGATCCGACCGGGAGAATGTGAAGATAGTACTTTTTACTTTCCTTTTTCCTGAACTTTGGCACAGTAATCCTGCTTTTGTATAACAATCTGTTACGTGTGTGTGTGTGTGTGTGCGCGTGCGCGTGCGTGCGAGTGTGTGTGTGTGTGTGTGTGTGTGTGTGTGTGTGTGTGTGTGTGTGTACGCACATCTGTTGCTCAGAACATGAGTTCATGTAGCGGTTTGGAAAAAGAAGAAGTTATGTAATGTGCCTGGTCAGTGAAGGAGCCATGTAAAACACAATAAACAGCCAGCTGCAGTTCCTCCTGGGAAACTGAAGCTGGTTTTCATCAAAGATGACATCAGACTTGAAACAACTGCAGCTACAAAGACACAGAGCAGTCCCACAAACCAAAACTTTATGATACTACACCCAACATTAACGTATATTTACTTCGTTTGATTAAAATGTTAAAAAGGTGCTTGCCAAATAGTTGAGCAACAAAACTTTATCTTTGTCTCCAAATCAGTTTTGTGCAGAAAGTGTTTTCTATTTCTGCATGGCTTGGGGTTGTACGATTTGTTAACAAGTAGTGTGAATGACTCTCGACTGTTACCATGAAGTTTAAGCCATGTTGTGTTTACTGAGAAATATTAGCAGCCGCTGCTGTATTGAATCAAAAATTTAATAAGCTTTAGACCAACATCAAACAAATGCTTTTAGGTCCATCAGGACCATGAGATGTTTGTGAAATAAAATGTAAAATAAAAGTCAACATTACCATCTGCAATTCCTTTTTCTTGCTGAGCAAAAATATGTAATGGTGTGGTGGAGTTGGGTATGTCTGTAATTGTATGGCTGGAATTGTATTGTTTGGTATGGGATGGTATGGTATGGTATGGTATGGTATGGTATGGTATGGTGTGTTGTAGTATGATATAATATGGTATGGTATAGCATGGTATTGTATATTATTATTATGGTGTGGTGTGATGCGGTATGGTATGGTATGGTATGGCATGATATGGTATGGTATGGTATGTTGTAGTATGATATAATATGATATGGTATAGCATGGTATTATATATTATTATTATGGTGTGGTGTGATGTGGTATGGTATGGTATGGTATGGTGTGGTATGGTATGGTGTGGTATGGTATGGCATGATATGGTATAGCATGGTATTATATATTATTAATATGGTGTGGTGTGATATAGTATGGTATGGTATGGTGTGGTGTGGTATGGTATGGTGTGGTATGGTATGGTATGATATGGTATAGCATGGTATTATATATTATTAATATGGTGTGGTATGGTATGGTGTGGTATGGTATGGCATGATATGGTATAGCATGGTATTATATATTATTAATATGGTGTGGTGTGATATAGTATGGTATGGTATGGTGTGGTGTGGTATGGTATGGTATGGTATGGTATGGTATGGTATGGTATGGTATGGTATGGTATGTTGTAGTATGATATAATATGGTATGGTATAGCATGGTATTATATATTATTAATATGGTGTGGTGTGATATAGTATGGTATGGTATGTTGTGGTGTGGTATGGTATGTTGTAGTATGATATAATATGGTATGGTATAGCATGGTATTGTATATTATTATTATGGTATGGTGTGGTATGGTATGGTATGGTATGGTGTGGTATGGTATGGTATGGTATGGTATGGTATGGTATGGTGTGGTATGGTGTGGTATGGTATGGTATGGTATGGTATGGTATGGTATGGTATGGGATGGTATGGTATGGTATGTTGTAGTATGATATAATATGGTATAGCATGGTATTGTATATTATTATTATGGTATGGTGTGGTATGGTATGGTGTGGTATGGTATGGTATGGTATGGTATGTATGGTATGGCATGATATGCTATAGCTTGGTATTATATATTATTAATATGGTGTGGTGTGATATGGTATGGTATGGTGTGGTGTGGTATGGTATGGTATGATATGGTATGGTATAGCATGGTATTATATATTATTAATAGGGTGTGGTGTGATTTAGTATGGTGTGGTATGGTATGGTATGGTATGTTATGGTATGGTATGGTATGGTATGGTATGGTATGGTATGGTATGGCATGATATGCTATAGCATGGTATTATATATTATTAATATGGTGTGGTGTGATATAGTATGGTATGGTATGGTATGGTGTGGTGTGGTATGGTATGGTATGATATGGTATGGTATAGCATGGTATTATATATTATTAATATGGTGTGGTGTGATTTAGTATGGTGTGGTATGGTATGATATGGTATGGTATAGCATGGTATTATATATTATTATTATGGTATGGTGTTGTAGAGTAGGGTATGGTGTGGTGTGGGTAGAATAACAACAGGACAAGGAACACAGAGATATATGCGTTTTACCATCAGGAATTAACCAAACCGTACATTTCTAAAACCTTTACACTGTTCTGATGTACATCTTTTCCATGATTTCAGGAACAATCATGTTGGATGTCCTCATCCTGCTCCTGTCCCTCTCCTCCACTGTGGTTCTAGTACCTCCTCCCAGTATCACCCCTGCACCCTGCAGACAATGTTGTGACCACCTGGGGGCAGAGGAGAGCAGCAGAGACCAGGCAGAGCTCAGCTATGTCCCAGAGGTCCGCACCTACATCAATATGACCATACTGAAAGGTAAATAATGTAACACAACACACACACTGTCATTCGACAATTGAAATTTTGCAATACACATTTTAATACTTCACATCTTTAGCCTTAAAGAGTTCAAACAAATGGTTTTTATCTTTGTATGTCCTATTTTGTAGTGACACGAAACAAATGTTCTCTCTCAGGTGACAAAGGAGATCGTGGGGACAGAGGGACTCCAGGTAAAGCTGGAATAGAAGGTCCTCCGGGGTCCCAGGGCCCCATGGGGTCAAAGGGCAGTAAGGGTCAAGCAGGTCTCCCAGGAGACCCCTGTAAAGTCCAACACTCTGCCTTCTCTGTGGCCCGTCGTAAATCCCTCCACAGCAGCGAAGCCTACCAGGCGCTGATTTTCGACACCGTCTTCGTCAATCTGGGCGACCACTTCAACATGTTTGAGGGTCGGTTCTTCTGCCGGATCCCAGGGGTCTACTTCTTCAACGTCAACATTCACACGTGGAACTTCAAGGAAACGTACCTCCACATCATGCAGAACGACAGTGAGCGGGCCATTGTGTACGCCCAGCCCAGCGATCGCTCCATTATGCAGAGTCAGAGCCTGATGCTGGAGCTGCATCTGGACGACCAGGTGTGGATCCGCTTGTACAAGAGGGAGAGGGAGAACGCCATTTACAGCGACGACGTGGATGTCTACATCACCTTCAATGGATACCTCATCAAACCCTCAGAGGAATAAGGAGGAAATCACCACACAATTAGCCTTTGTTTCTAACAGAAGTTAAAACCATTCCCTGAGGTCTTATGAACAGCTGCCTCTTTACTCAACAATTAAGACACTTTTTAAATTTTTATGGTGCTTTTTCATAAAACATTTACAACCATTAGCTTTCTGAACCTCTACATTAAGTTGTTGCAGACCTTCAAGTAAAACCTGATTCATACTTCTCCATCTGCATCGGTGCGGAGACACGCAACACCATTATGCGTCGGCGCAAGGGCTCTCCGATGGGCTCACAGAGGGGGTGTTTCTCAATTTCAAGGCGCCTTGCCTTGCGAGGCGATGTCTTGCGAGGCCAGGCGCCTTGCTTTCAAGGACACTGTCCTTCCTTGGTCAAAGAAAACGGTTAAATGGAACAGACTTAAATCATGGGACCATGGCTTCCACGGCGGTCACCTAACGTCACGTGACACGGGAGATAACATTATATTTTATATGTAATAGTTTCAATATATAATGAGCCTTTTACTTTTTAAATTGTGATTATATTTATTAAATTAAAAATATAAGCGAGTTACTACCCGCTAGCCACCGAAGCTGCAACTACTAAGCAACTAACCAGATAACTTCTTTGGATCTAAAAAAAACATTTTAAATTAGTTGACTTAAACTTGAACTTCGCCCCCGAAGTAGCTGCTGGCTTCTGATCTGCCGTCTTTTTGAAAATACCGCAGTGTATTCTGGGTAATTTTTGACCAAGGCTAGGCTACAAGACACCTCCCGTGTATCCTTGCTGAGCTAGCTAAATGGCTAACAAACGGAGAACACACGCCTCGGTAGAACATTAACATTGGAATGCGTCTTGGCAGCTCCCGATGATGTATCTCCTAGGCAACCAGGGTGGAGCCAAGACATCAAGGCAAGGTTCCTTGGCATTGAGAAACACCCAGGGTGACGGAGGCTGCCAGCTTGTGATTGGTCAGGACGCTGCTTCCTGTATATTCGTCACCAGTACCGCTGTAGCTCTGTTAAAAAGTAAACTGATATTTAGCGCCAGACCCCGAACAGATTGCTGCAGATTGTGCAGCTTTAATCCTGCTCTCGAGGAGTACAGACCCTTCCCTCTTTTGCTCCCTTATCTTTTTTTTCTCCCAAGGCTCTTTGTCCTGTTTGCCCACAGAGCGCTTCTCTGCATTTCTTCTGAAAAACTATTTTTTTTACTAACCATGGATTTGATAAACTGGTCATTCAATGCGATCGATAAGATTTTTTCAACAATGAAAACGGAGCAGGGGGCTCCCACATGTCCACAGGGGGCGCATCCGGTGGGGTATATTTTGGATTCCTGGAAGGAGTGGAAGATCATATGCCTCTCCCAGCTGTCCATTGAGGACATCGGAGATGTGTGGATATTTGGTCGGATGATCACTGGATTTCTCCTGATTGGAGTGGGAGGATATCTGGTTTTCTGGAAATTTGGGAAGACGGGAGCAATTGGAGGGCGACCCGCACCCACGGAAAGCACCGTCCTTGTGAAGACTTCTCAGACTGGGACGTTACTCGAGGTGAATCGTAAGCTGGACAATGTTCTAGCTGCGATACCGGTATTAGTGCGCAAAATGGATGTCATCTCGGAGAGAGTCACCGGATGGTATGGACAGGTTTAAAAACCCAAAATTGGCTTCACTGAAGGACTGGAATGATCAGTTTAAAGACTGAAGGCAAAGAGGAAAATTATCTCAGCCTGACCCAAACAAATTCTTGTTATCTGAATCTGACGCCCTGGTAGCCTTGAGCTGCAAGCAACTAAAACCCCCACGAAGGAATGCAGACAGATGCTGTGAAAAACCCGACCCACCCCCTCCGCCTTCGGATTGGTGGACTTCAGCCTGGCGAGGTCATCAGCTGGAGGAGTCAATGTGCTCTTCGCTTCTCCCAAGATCTCCCTCCCACCTTTGACAGTACAGTAGATGAGCGCCTTCGATGGCTACTCTTGCTGGCATGGACGTAATTTTCACTTTAGAAGTGGGGGGGACACGGAGTGGGGTGGGGTGTGTGTGTGTGAATCTTTACAGTATGCTCTAATGGGAAACAGGCTTCAACACAAACAATTGTTTTCCGCTTGGTCCTAGAGCTCAACCAGTGTCAATTTAATGTAGCGTAATATTGTTTTTGGATGGTAAAAAAAGCAGGGGTCAAAACTTGACTTTGGAAAAAGTGGGGGGGACATGTCCCCCCTGTCCCCCCCCAAAATTACGTCCATGCTTGCTGGAGGAAACAGGATCCCAGCCCCCCCCCCCCCCCCCCCCCCCTCCTATTGGAGTCTCATGTTGTGTTCTGATTCTGATTCTGATTGAAGAATGCATCATTTAAAAAGTCAGAAAAAATTAACATTTATTCAGCCGTGAGTGAAGGAGTACAACATACGGAGAAAACGTGGACGGAAACGACAGGAAATGTTGGTTTAGAGGTGGCGACGGCATGAACAGGTGGAGGAGAATGAAGGACAGATTTGTCCGTATTATATAGTCTCTGAAATATATAAACACGTTAGTAAATACACTATCGAGGACAGGATACATGAGTGTTATGGTGGCACGATACCACAGAGCAGCGCTACGCCCTCTGTTGTCCTGGTGGGGAATTGCTATGCAGAACAGAAGTTCGAATGGGAAAACCTTTCCGACAGTCCGTGTGCGTCTCTCCGTTGTGGAGCTCACAGAGAAGTATAAGTCAGGCTCAACACTTTTCTGCTCCCCCAAATGGCTGAAAGTGGAATTACAATGGTTGTAAACAACCGTGGCACAGGCTTTGAAGATAATGTCATCATACAAGGCGTTGAATTTTGCATGTGTTTATTAATTTATGATCATTGGTAGCTTGGACAGAAAGAAAACAATGAGCACTTTGCAACATTTTTAGATTGTTTGAAACCGAAACCAACCAGTGTAAGCCCCTGCCGATGCTCACACTGGTTTTAGTGATTTGCTTCACCTCCAAAGACAAACTTCCACACTCCACCATAATGACAACAAAAAAGCTATCTTCTTCTTGTACTCATTGTCGACGGTCAGTAAACTGAAAAAGCTAACCGCTAGCTACCAGCACAGCAAACAACTGTTACTGCAAAGCAAGAAGAGACCTCCATCTAGTGTTCCTAACCAAACCAACCAAGTTGTTTATTGCCGTTTCTGGTCAGCAGAGTGCTACAGAGTGCTGTCCCATGTTAAGCTGCTCACCTTTCTGGCTCAAGAATTACTGAAACCAGTTGGAAAGCAATAGCTCAAAATGACACTAGATAGTTTTCAGAACTTTAAGCTAGAGCTTTAACATTGGTCTCAGCGATTGTTGACTTAGAAACTTGGTCAGTTTCATATTGACACCACTTAACAGTTTTGTGAAGCGGGACGGTGTTCTATAGGGGGCGCTCTTTACCTGCTTCGTGGCTGTTAGCTGTAATGCTAGTGGTTAGCATTTCCAGTTTGCTGATTATCAATAAAAGCACAAGAAGATGAAAAAGTTTACTTTTCAGTTGGCGTCATGGCATCATGGCATGAGTAAGAGTGTAATTAATGTTTTTGGAGGTGAAGCAAAGGGCTAAAAGCGTGAACATCGGTACGGCCTACGCTATTTTGAGGGAGCTAAAGGATACTACAAAGTAATGGACTGATGGTGACCTGGCTTTGTTGCTACTGGACTTGTAAGTAATATTTGTTTTACTTTGTGGTTTATTTTAGTATTAGTTGGCTTGTGTTGGTGTTAGCTTGTTTTTAGTGCTAGCTATAGCAGGCTGCTGCAGGGTTGTTTACAACAGTTGCAATTCTACTTTCAACCAGTAGGGGCATAGGAGCAGGAAACAGGGTATCGCTGCAGACCCGGCACTGCAGATTCAGGCTTTTACTGCTTCTGAGAAAGCATCGCTCACTGGTTTCCTAATCCCAGATGGATCACAAGTTGAGAGTGTGAATTGAACATGGAGTACAGTGTTTGTTTCACTATTTTTTAAATAAAATCTGAGTTTATTTTCTATCTTAATTTCTAAATAAAAATATATCTGGCCCCAAACCTTGTCCTAACCCTAAGGTCCATAAACATCCGTCAATTAGAGGTCGCTGTCCCGAAAAGATTAGAAGCCTGAATCTGCAGCTGGCCTGAATCTGCAGTCTGGATCTGCAGCCATTTACTATTGAGGAAGCTGCTCCATGTGACCTTAAGGACAGTTTCTGGTCTGCAGAGGGTGCTGCTCAGGTGTATGGCTCACAAACCTCTGAAATCAGGTTGAAAGCAATAGTTTAAAGTGTTTAATTACCTCTTTAATGTTGCTTTAATAAACATTTATGTTGATGCTTATAGCTCCCTGAAGTTTCTACTAATAATCTGTTGTGTTAAACCTCAGTACACCTCTGCTTGTGTCTTTAGTCCTTATTTCCCTGCAGTTGTTCCTCTGCTTAACAAACAGACATGCTGGTACTCAATATAATTGCCTTTAATGTTTTTGATACAACTAAAAATGTCTAATTATAAATTTCCCCTCCTCTGCTGCAAACTAACATATTTACTGTACTTTCAGTGAAACATCAAATAACTACTTTTGGCCTCTAGCTCAACAAATCAACGTCAGTATTTAAGGTTTCTATTTTAAGGGCACTTTTAACACTATAATTCTACCTTTTTCTGGCGTGAGATCATAAGTTTACAATTTCCACGCAGCCACTGAATGCAGCATTAATGTAATGAAAAATGAACCCTAAATAAGGAAATAAGACGTGACCCAGGACTTCGCATATTTATTTATTTAATTAAAAGGCTTGATTTTTCAGAGAGGACTAAAAACAGTAAAACAATAATTAAACTTAAGACCACTGTAGTAATTAAAATAATAATAATGATAATAAACAACCATCTAAATCCTAAATTATTTTGTTTTTATCCCACAGATTCAGGGTCAGCCTGGAATTGTCGCTCCCATCTGATTCCTTTGGGAGGACTATTATGAAGGTTAAAAAAGGCCAGTAGACTAATTTTTTTAATCAAGGCTCAGTTATTATTTATTATCTGACACTTTTTGACCCTGTGTCGTATTACACACTCATACTTTTGCTGTGACCTTTTCATGATTTCATATGTTGGAACAGTTGAAAGGAAATTTATGGATGAAGACATGAAGTTAGTTGGTAAGGGTGGAGGATGCAGAAGACAGGAATTAATGGAGACAGATGATTGGTTGTGGCGACTCTGGGGGGGGGGGGGGGGGGGGGGTCAAAATGCAACAAGCTTGTTTTAAAAATGAGCATTTATTTATTTTATTATGTATCAAACAATAGTTTTACTAAGACAGCAGAGCTGATGAGCCATAGAGGTTCTGCTCCAGGTGTAGTTCCCACTTCTGACCACTAGAGGGCATAACAAACCCCCCTACTTTGTTTTTCTATCAAAATGTTGTTTGTCCACCTTTGATCAACATTGCTTTTTCCTCTTAGATGTTAAATTTTTTTTAATTTGTTTTCTTCAAACTACAAAAAAATGTTTGTGTCAAGCCGACAAAAACACGTTTTAAACACAAGGAGAGAATTCCCGTTTCTGTTCATTTGGGCGTTTTTCTCTTCATGAAACCTCAATTCTGCACACACACACACACACACACACACACACACACACACACACACACACACACACACACCAGAAACCACACTTTCTTCATTTCTTTTAGAACATTTTAATTAAAGAGACAGACATAAAAAATCCCTTCATGCCACAACTTTTATTTTTCCACCCGACACGAGAAGGACGAATATTTCACACGCCTTCAGAAATAACGGTAAATAAAAACTCCTCTGTGTTTACTGTTGTGTCACTAATGCATGAGGTCAAAAACCCATTGCTCCTTCCTCTAGGACTGTTGCCGTGGCAACAAGAAAACTGGACAAAAGTGAGCTTTAATTAAGGCCAAGAAGCCCCCCAGAGAGTAAAGCTGAATTTCTTCACCGTTTTTTTAGCCAATAAAAAAACAACACTTTGATTTTATGCTTCATGCCGACTCATTGTGTCTATTTTCACTTTGACAAAGAAAAAGCAGGCGGCCGATCTGCGTCGTTTGGGACCATCACACAGAAAACAAGAAAAGGATGACAACACGACTCTGCCTTTGGGTGATTCTGGAAAAACAAAAACAACACAAACACGCTGTGTGTATTTTTGTGGCTTCCCACTGAGACACACAAACAATAAATCAAACAAAATGTCAAATTTATATCAGACTTCCACATAAACGCTTCAGCTAAAAGGCTCGAGTTTCCTGTTGGTCCCAGTTTAGCAAACACACCTTCCTGTGATTCCCTTGGTTGTGTTTGGAGTAAAAATGAAGTCCTACAAAAATACTTTAGATTTTTTTGTTGTGTAAACTTTTGCAACCAAAGGCACTATCTTCTCCTCCGGCCAGTCTCCCGCCCATCATGTTTGAACCTTTCCTTTAACTCGGTTCTCGGTTTGCACCAGATTTAAAGATCCTGCTAGTACGCTAACATCAAACCAAACGGCGGAGCATCATCTGCACAGCTGTGCAGGAGTGAGACGTGCCTTTTGTTGGCTCGAGGAAATGCTACAAAACTCTTTAATGCACCACAAGAAAAACGCTGCCTCGAAGACATTTGGGGGATAAAATCAGAGTCTCCAGGTTGATTTTAGTGTTCAAAATGTTCCCTTTTAGCTAATAAAATAGACACAGGCACATCTGTGCATGTAGTCAGCAAGCACAGGAACCTGGAGAGTTTGTTGTCTCTGCAACAAGCAGAAACAAATCCAGTCAGCCAGCCGCGCAATGGCTGTAATCAACATGGCAGACACACACAGACATTCCCCTTAGAGACAGGAAAACTCAGGATTAAACATGAGTTTAAAGTAGGATGAGCATGCTACGCGCTTCCGTCACCTCTTTTTGATTGGCTAGACATTCAGCAGGCACCACCTTCATTTGTCTCAGAAAATCTGACCTGAAGGCTGGATTCATGATCGAAGGAGTCTCCACGTCCTTCCGAGCAAACCGGAGCATTCTTACCACACCACACATGGTAGGATTATCTGATAAGATTATCTTTAGAGTTGTCAAGAAAATCCCTAAAAACTAAGCTCACAGAGAAACCATTTCTTACTTGCAGGCTAACATGCAGGCTAAAGGTGAAAATAGCCTTTTACCTGATTTCCTGAATTAGCCGCCGTAGAAAACAGACGAGGAAACACTCCGATCTGAAACGCCACTGGCCCATCATAATGTTGAATCAGCATTCATGGATTCACCCATTGGCTGTTGTTGATTTAGCATCCAGGAGAGGACAGAGCACGTCTCAGCTAGTAGAATCTAACCATTAGCATTAGCAACTCCACAACATGGCAGAACTCCTTCAGGCTTGTATTATAGACCCTTTTACTGTTTGTAAAGAATATGACGTCACCGAGAATGTGCGCGCAGCTTGGCAACAGAGAAGGGCGTTGTTTCAGGCTTTATCAAGCTACGCTGCGGGGTTATCACCGGCAAATCTTGAATGTTATATTATTAAACTCACGTTAACGAATGGCAACAGTCTCCCGGATCCCTGTGGCATTACGGAATGGGTGGAAGATGTGGGTGCGTGGCCAGATATCCAGTGGCCCGATATATATACGTTTTTAGTGGAGAGGCCCAGTAAGTACACACGTGAGAAGCTACGTGCGTACAAATCGTTAGATGCATACAACTATGTTGTCTGTGGCCACGTACAGAAAGTAAAATATCACGACATAGACTCTGAGTTTTGCGTCTTGAAGGCAGAAGTCCTTCCTAGCCAAAGACAAGAACACAAGACTGCTATGTACGAGGCTTGGGTCATAGTAAACAAACCAGAGAACTACGTCTTCACAGCCAACTGTACCTGCATGGCAGGGTGAGTATAGCATAGGTTTTTTTTAGCGTGCTCAGAGTACAATGGTGTTAATTTTAGAGGAATACAGTTTATACTAATATGCAGTGGGAAAATACAGATGAATTAGAATGAAATGTTAATTTGAAGCATGAAATAAAGCGTATAAATTTATATGTAATCTTAGTACATAATTACCTTACCTGATATAAAATGGGCGCTACAAACTCGAGCATTTCGGATCGTGTTTTCAGTCCAGTTTTCATCAACCCTTTTGATGGCCTGCAGCCACAGACGCCTCCGATTTTGTTGAAATGGATGTGCTCCCTTCGGAATTCTGTAAAGTTTCAGTCCACTGCTTGAAGAGAAGCGATTCTGGCATCCATACACGCAACAACCCGACATTTTTATGTGCTCAGAACTTCAAAACAAAGGGTTTAAAACGCTGTTTTAGTATCGAGTGTGAATGAGGAAGCCTTCACTCTCGTTGCCAGGCTGCGCGCGCAACTTTTGATGACGTAGGTAGTAAAAGGGTCTATTTGAGGAGGTAAAACATCAACGTTGCACAACAGAGTCAGTAGTAGTCGCATTGCTGTTAGCCAATCAGAGGCGAGACGTCCGAATATCAGGTGATATACTGCTGCACACCCCCCCCCCCCCCCCCCCCCCCCCGGTTGACTTCCTAAAACAGGAGCGCCAGAGCTCTTTTCCCCACAGAGATCGAATCACAAGACGTTTATTTATTCTAGAGACCACTGCAAATGCGTTGGGTTTAACGAGTGAACTTGGTCTTTAAGAGTGACGTAAAAGAAAAACAGTGTGAATATGAACTGGGCTGTAGGTCACCACCGGTTTCCTGAGTGGGTCTTTCAGAAATAACTAAAGTTTTAACATTTTTCCCGTTGCTGCCAAAAACTGGTCAGACTTTATTACAGCACTTTTTTTCTCTAAAATGTGGTGAATTTCTATTTGCACGAGTATTAATTTGGTGTATTTTTACATTTATGAGCTAAAAATAAACCAATCGGCCACAAGCTGAAATCGCCTCATCGGTCTGCTTCTACTTCCTGTGCTCGGACAAACAGAAAGCTTTTTTTAACACCAATTGTTTGAGTTGAGTCCCAGCTGTGTGGACCCATGAGCTCAAAACAGGAAGTTGGGGTTCGCCAGGGAAAGGGACACACACCGACCAACACCTGCTTACAGACAGGATGCAAGTCCGTGACTTCATGACCAAAATAAATAACTTCACATCGTCTGTGTGCTTCTTTAGATGATTAAGAGCATTACTCTTTGTGCACATTCACCATGACAAAGACAGGACAGGAACAGGTGTGCAAAGGCCCGTCTCTGGTGAGAATCACTCACTGAGGATGGAGTCTGGCCTTTCATAGCCGAAGAGACTGAAGTCGGGCTCGTAGAGTTTGTACAGTTCTCTACGAGCCTCCACGGGTACCGTGCTGAACCAATCCCACTCCCAGCTGCTGGCTGTCAGGTTCCTCTGTGAGGAGGGGAATTCCACCACGTTGTCCACACGCAGCAGACGAAGAAGATGCTCAGCATCCTCCTCCGCCGTCTCCAAGTGGCCCACAAAGTCGTACTGAATTTGGCACGGGTGGCAGAGTCGGTACACCTGTCTCCAGTGCTCGTTGAAGGGCATGTCCTTCTCTGTCCGCGGGTCCAGGAGGTACTGGACGAAGTGCGAGAAGTTGGGCCGGATGCCCGACGTAAATGCCTCGTCCACAGAGGCAGGAGGGGTCGGCTGGTTGGCATAGCGACGCAACATAACTTGTGCAAAGCGCCGGTAGAAGTCCTCGTTGCGCATCTCAAATTTATTCCTGAAGGCAGAGATGAGACGCACGAGGGGGTCCCGGACAAAAAGGAACTTGGTGTACTTCTTCAGCTTCACCTGAAACAGAAACAGAGACGCAGCTCGATGACCCGCCTGCTTCAGTTCAGAGTAGATGATCGTTAGCAGCCAGGTGTGCACAGATGTTCATGCTACACGACTAACGCTGATGCATCTGGGAGGTATGACATCACAGGGGCTGATTACAGCCCGGGGGTGTGATGATGACATCATAATCAGTTTTTTATATGATGCTGGCAAGATTTTCTCCAGCCTGCTGATGTAGGCTCCCGTCTGTTAGCATGAAAGACATCATTTCTGCTGTACAGGTCAGAGTTCAAACAACACGTTTCCTGTTAAAGATCTGATGTGATCTCCAAACGCTAAAGGTTACCGAGTCACTGTAGAGGCAGAGTGAGCAACAGACAGAAAGAGAGAGAGAGAGGGGTTCTGCACACAAACGTCAGACGTCTCCAGCTTGTGAACGGACCTTCATGAGGTGTCTTGCGAACTTGCCGTAACGCTTCCAGAACTTGTTGAAGGTAAAGTGCATGCTGCTGTTGTGGACCAGGTCTCTGGGGATAGCCAGGGGGTCTCTCTGGGGAACGCCCTCCTGCTGCAGGCTCTCGCTGAGAACGATCATGATGCGCTTCCAGTTGCTGCACGCCACCTGGGATTCACAGCAGGGAAACGGCTGGACATCAGCATAGATGCACCCGTTTTGGTCCTGAGGGCGGATTCGCGTGCATCTCTGAGCTGCTGACACCGATGAGGGCTAACGAAACAGCTAACAGGGAGCTACGTTTTTAATTTATTAGCAAAACAAAGAATATGACCCTGGAAGAACAACCGTCCACATGGAAAATCTGTTGTTGCTAAGGAGGATTAGCATTTAGCGACGGTGTCATGTTTTTGCATTGCGACATAAAACACACGGAACAAAAACCCAATCTTTAAATATCAGGATTAATGGCCGATAACGATGGCCAGCTGATGATGACATGAACATGGTGAAGAGCAACGCTGCGTACCTTGGGAACGTAGCAGTAGATCACACCATGCCTGTCATCCACGATGAGATGATCCAGCTCCTTGTTGGGGATGTCATCAAACGAGCGATTTTTACCAGGAAACGCCACGGAATCGTTAGCGCAGACCTCCTGAAGTAACCTCCGTCTCTGCTCCTGGGTTAAACAGACTCTTATGACTCAAACCGACCCGTAGCAGGAGGATTATCTAGTGGACTCTGAACTACAGCCGGATTCGTGACTCCTCAATGATAAAGCAGACGAACCTGTCTCTCCCGGAGCTCTGCTGCGATGGGAGTTAGGTGAATCTTCCACTCCCTCCGTGGAACGTACCGCTCTTCCTTCTCCGACTGGTTGCTGCTGTCAGCCGGGACCACATCCGTGGGTTCCCCCGTTCCCGGCTCTAGGAACTGGTTAACAAAGGCATCAATGTCATTCAGGAAGGACGGGGTCCGGGACGTCGTCGGGACCTTTGGCCGTGGAGGGGGGTGGGGGATTCTGGGTCCAGGTGACACTGGGGTGTGCAGGTAGAAGTGTGAGGCTCCGACATCGTCCCAGTAGATGATGATCAGTAGAATCATGAACGCCGAGCCCAGGACTATGAAGATACGGAACATCCTGGTTGTTCCCATGGCAACGGTTGCTCGCTACAGAGTCACCATAGCAACAAACTTATGATTTAACAGGGCGTCCTGGCATTGCCATAGCAACAAATTAAAACGAGTCACCTGGTTCTCTCTTCTTTTTTTTTACAATGCCTTTTTCTGTGACGACCAGGGCAACAGACTGGTATTGTGGGGCTACAGGGTTACCATGGAAACGGGGTCCAGATGCTCTGTCTCACCATGGCAGCGAGCACACAGCAGCTTCTGTGGAAGGATCGGGCTCATCGTGATGCTGCAGTGCAGGCAGGAGCGGACTGGGCCGGCTACGGACTCACCTCCGGACCTTCACACACACACACACACACACACACACACACACACACACACACACACACACCTTAAATATATTTCTAATCGACTAAAGTTTTAATCCTCTGCCTCTTTGCAGCCTTCATCTGATGCAGAAACAAAACCAGGCTATTTGAATCCTTCATAAGCGTGGTCAGGTGTTTCAGGGGGACAGTTTTGACGTTGCTATGCTCCGTTTGATAGAAGAAGAGAAATAAAACAAATGGTTTGGGACCGCTGCAAACGAAAGAAAAGCAAAAACTAGTTTCAGGTGACTCTCTCTCCACCCTGCACACCTGTGGAGACTAGGGATGTAAGAAAATATCGATATGGCAATATATCGTGATATTTTTTCCTGCGATTATTACATTGATATTCAAAAGCCATGCATCTAATTCTTGAACGAATTTACATGCAAACTTTTGTGTATTTTCTTTTCGTTTTGTGCAATTCAATCGCCACCCGCTAGTTGGCAGCAGTGTGCAATGGGTTTTGTTTCCACCACTGAACTGTAAATCCCTCCATCATGGTTCAGATACCTCATGTTAAACATGTTACGCATCAGTTTGGACTGTTTATTGAACATTCTTACAATAAATTCAGTAAAAAAAATTGCTGGTAACGTCTGACTGAATGTATCGCAATATATCGTGATATATCGTATCGTCTCCCCTGTATCGTGATACGTATCGTATCGCCAGAATTTCAAAAATACACATCCCTGGTGGAGACTATGTCCCCTTGGGACAGTAAAGGGAGACAAAGAGGCAGATGCGTCATCCCGCTCCAGGACATGAGGTCCACAGACTTACGTGTGTGAACGTTAGCTATTGTGCTGCACCAACAAACGAGTAAATGTTCTGAGGAGAGGAACAACCGCTATGGACCACTAAGATGCGTAACAGCTGCAGCTCTGGACTCGAGGTGCTCTTGGTGTTTGTGCAACATCTCATAAACCTTTTACACCACCATCAGTGGTCCATCATAGTGCTTCAGCAGGGGAACGCAGCACTTCTGGAGCATCCAGAGGTCCACTCCTCTACATTTGTGTTGTAATAATTACGTAAAGACCTAAATCCTGTTCCTCCGTCGTGAGGATTCATAAAAACTGCAGCAAACTGTGACTTTCACTCTGCTAAAATACAACAGAGACTGTGTGTAGTGTCTGACCCGCTCCCACTCAGAGCAGGAAGATCACAGGCAGCTGACAAATAGCTCCTGATGGGGGGGGGGGCTCGGCGTTCTACACCAGAACCGCTGCTTTCTGCACGACGCCAGCACGCTGAAGCTCTGTGTTCATGCAGGAATCTCTAATCTGCATGCTCTACCCTTCCTGTTTCCACGGTGGGGGTGGGGGGTCACTTAGATCTCGTCCGTCTCATCCTTCCTGCTCAGTTTCAGAAGCCACGCGGTGTCGCGTTCCCGTTTCGACACGCGTCTAAATTCGGAGCCGTCATTTAACTTCCTCTTACCCCGAAGCTACAGAGGGAACCATTGATGTGGAAAAGTGAGTCAAGACCATGCTCCTCTTCCTCTCAAAGCATCAGATCAAAGGTTTTCCTGCTACACACATCGGATCATGTTGGTCGGCGTCAGCACTACAGCCGAGCAGGAGTTAATGCAGATTACACGCCCGTCACAGGACGACGCTCTGCTTTTCGGTACATCATAGACAAAATCTGATTTAAAAAACTGCAAGAAATTTCTTCCGAGAGTGTAACAGGTGAGAATGCCCCGCCCCCCTCGGACCTGTACAGCTCAGGTAGACTTCAGATCACAAAGGTTTAATGGGAACTTGAGCTTTACATGGCTGAATGGGTGTTCTGGAATACTTTAAGCATCTTGTGATTTTATCTTTTTTTTACAGAACCACATTTTGAGTTTTAAGAATATACTTTTTTGGCCTTTGAACTTTTATAATCCACCTGTTCTTACTCTTAAGATCTATTCAGTAAAAATGCTAAATTTTTACATCAAAATGTAGAAATGTATGTCCTCTTCCACCCAGTGTGTCTCTGGTTTTCCCTCAAATCCTCTCAGAGCGGTCCCACCTGGGCTTCCGTAGACTTCACTGATGTGTTACAGCTTAAATATTTATTCCATACAGAAAGTAAAAGGTCTCTTTAATTCGTCAAACCTCCCACATGCAACGCTGTAGGCGCCTTGTCGTCTGCCTCTTGTTGACTTTGCTTCGGGTGAAAAACAGACGCAGGTGTGTGGTTGCCATGGTGAGCCTAATGAGCCACTGGCTGAAGCTCAGACTTTATCATCTTGTTTCTCTTTGCACATCTTACTGATTGTACAGAAAAATTTGCTCTGAGATTAACTATTTACAACAATGTTGTTGAGTTTTCTCACAGTTACATTTTTGTGGAACAACTATTTGTTTAAACAAGGCGTCAGATTTGTGAAATGTGTGGTTTTAGGTGCTTTCTAGATTTTCATATTAATATAAATCATCCTGTTGATTCTGGTTTATGTCAAATAGATATAAATATTAGATTTTTTTTAGATTTGCACTTCAATTTCAGATCAATCAGAAAAGTGTTACTCTGGGAGCACAAACGCGCGTATGGAGTTATTTTTGTGGGTTTTAAACTGTAGGACGTTATAAACTACATTTTGGGAATTACGCGTTCACAGACCTGATAGAAAAATCTGATTTTTTAGCTTCAGTTTGGAACACCACTGATTTAGCAGATCTCTGGTCAGTTCTGATGCATTCTATAAGTTATTATTTATCCGTTTCACGTGCTGGAGAAGAAAGGTTAAAATCAGGAAACACAAATATTGTCTCACTCCCCGAAACTTATCCACACCTGGAAAAACAACGCGAATGAGATTCCATACTTTAGGACTGCGTAGGGAGGCTGTAACACGTGTTTTATTACTGAGCACGAGCAGAGAGTTGCGGTTTTATCACCGCGGTGTGTGAACAGATAAAAGCCGAGAGACGCTGCTCAAACAGAGGATAAATAACAGCTTCGTGCCCGCTGCAGCCGCCGACGGCTGCCAGCAACCGGACACACAATGTAGTCTTTCAGGGGAGAGCGGCGGAACCGCGGGGGGAGGCTGCTCTCCTCGCCGGGAGCTTTCCGGTTCACCAAAACGGTTACGTACTAATGAATGATGAAAGAAAACACAGTGTCCCTCCAGCCCGGCGTTATCACAACTATCTGCAGCAGCTAAAGTCCTCAGCGTTCAAACACGGGTGAACGTAGAACCGGCTTGTTTCGGAAAGATCAAATGTTGCATTACCTTCTTGATTTTTCTGGTAATAACGGTAAAAAGAAGTGAGGAGAAACAGAATCTCACCTCCTCTTTTCTCCTCAGCTCCCAGCGCCGCGTCATCTGAGCCTGCCTGCCAGTGATGCGAGCCGTTTTTTCAATCGAGGATGGAGCGGGATCTCGCCAAACATCGCGAGATTTGATGGTGTATGGCAAGCTATTTGACCACATGTTCACCAATCGATCTTCAATTTAAAGGAACGTTTCAGCTACCCTTAACATGTTTAATTCTACCCACAACCAATGTTTCACATATCTAACTTTTGTTATGACGCACAACAACAGGGTGCGTGGGAGTTTGCCCGACCTACATGTGCTTTGTAAATTTGGAGAAGGTGTTCGACCGCGACCCTTGAGAGACCCTTTGGGGGGTACTTTGGGAGTATGGGGTACCAGGCTGTTAGGTCCCTGTATGACTGGTGTCAGAGCTGGGTCTGCATTGCTCGCTGCAAGTCGGGCTCATTTCCAGTGAGAGTTGGATTCTGCCAAGACTTCCCTTTATCAACGATTCTGTTCATAACATTTATGGACAGATTTCTAGATGCAGCCAAGGTGTTGAGGGGATCTGTTTTGGTGGCCTAAGGATCAGAACTCTGCTTTTTGCAAATGTTGTGGTTCTGTTGGCTTCGCCATAACGTGATCTCCTGCTCTCAGTGGCGTTGTTCACAAGTGAGGGAAAAATAGAGCGCAAGACCGATAGACAGATTGATGCTGCAGCTGCAGTGATGCGGGTGTTGTACTGATCTGTCGTCGTTGTGAAGAGAGAGCTGAGCCAATAGGCAAAGCTCTTGATTTACCAGTCGTTCCTACCCTCATCTATGGTCATGAGCTTTGGGTAGTGGCCGAAAGAATGAGATACAAGTGGCCAAAATTGTCATGGTCCGTGGTGAGTTTGCCTGCCTGTAACCTGGTTGTTCTACTCTGAGCTTGTTTCCACAGGTGGGCGTGTCTGAGAGCTCCCAGCTGAAGCTGATCTCATCATCAAGGCCAGGGGATTTAAGGAGCAGTGTGACACTTCACCACGCCGGATGATTTATTCAGTTTTGGGTTCCTCTTAAAATCCTCAGTCTCTCAAGAACCAACCCGGATCACAACCTACATGACACACTGCTCCATCCTCTGACCGCCCGCTCTCAGCCGCTCACCTACTACATCCATTTCGGCTCCTACACCTCAGGACAAACCAACCACCTTTCCTGGATATCCTCAGCTCACCCGGACCAGACAACCCTCCCGGTGCATTTAGTGCTGCCAAGAAACAGTAAGACCAGTCTCCAGTTACAATTCCGTCTGTTTCCACTAGTTATTCACTCTGTCTCCCTCCTTAGAAACCTCCTCCTGGAGTCCTGCTGCCAGTCCTGCATCTCGTCGAGTCCCGAACCTCTGTTGCTCATTATTTTCCAAAAATAAAACCCTTTTTACTTACCTTCCCGCTCTCCGTGTGTGATTCTGCATGTCGTGGGTCAAGAAATTGCCTCAGGCCATGACAGAATCATCCGGCCATGATATTGACTCCATTGCAGAATCCGATCCATCCGTTAACTTTCCGTCCGCCGTTTCTGAAACACTCTCCCGTCACGAACACGCCATCCATAGCTTACTAGAACAATCCTCTGACTCCCACCAACGGTTACTCCATATGGACAACATGTTACGCACCCTCACTGCCAAGCTAACTTCCCCGGAACC